TGGACCACCTGAGGTCGGGAGTTCGAGACCATCCTGACCAACATGGTGAAACCCCTTCTCTACTAAAAATACGAAAATTAACTGGGTATGGTGGTTCACACCTATAGTCCCAGTTACTCAGGAGGCTGAGGCACGAGAATCAATGGAACCCAGGAAGTGGAGGTTGCAGTGAGCCAAGATCATGCCACTGCATTTCAGCCCTGGCCATCGAGTGAGATTCTGTCTCAAAAAAAAAATTAATAATAAATAAATAAATTAGAATTATCAGGGAGGGATTTAAAAATAACTATGCTTACTATGTTTCAATAGCTTTTAAAAAATGAAAAAAAAATCATTGAGTAAAACATTTTCCTGGTTTTCTTGCTCTGTTGTTGCTATGGCATGTGGGGCCTGCCAGTTAGAGCTAAACAGTCAGTTTTGCTGTTTCTAGGCAGGAAAATGCTCTCATCATAAGTAAATATCTAGTCATCCCAGGAGGTGACTCTGGTAATGTATGTTTTCATTAGCCAATTCCACTCTTAAAGGTACAATTCTCCTGACTTTTTAACGTTTTCCTAGGGTGCCATCCTGTATGTTAAAGCCAAAATTGATGATTTCTTCTCAAAGGCAGTGTTACCATAATTCACACCATTTAGATATATTATTTAAAAAGTGCTTAAATCTTTTCAACATTGTTCATTAAGCTTCTGTTAAAATCATAAAAATGTCATGTCTGATTAATTCAACTGAGTTCAGTTTTTAAACAGTACTATTGTTCTACAATGTGCTATTTATTGTTTAAGCCTAGAATTCATTAGTGCTTCTAATAAACTGAAAGGGATGGAGTATTTTACTAATATATTCATCATAATTATAATAAATTTAAGACTGTGGGCCAATTTTATGAAATCTATATAGAAATGATAGGAAGTAAATGAATTTAACATAGTTCTAGCATTTATTTTGTCTGAAAGCCAATGTTCAGTGAAAACGTTTTTCTCTTCTGAAAACCTGAAGCAAGTAATGCTAGAAACGTGATTGACAGGTTGGTAAGATGAAACATGACCGAAGTAGTATCATTCATCTGTTTAACGTTTATAGCCTGGGAACATGCCTTATAATATGGCCAAAAGGCTACATGTTTCAATATACTCCTAAATATAAGAGACTTTAAGCTCATAAGTTCAGAAAGGAGTATTGTCTGTAAATTACATCTCAATAAGCTTAATATTTATAAAAGATAGGAGAAGACTAGCACTAGTCGAATAAGAGAAAAACAATAAGCTTTTCCAATCTACAAGTGCATCTGTGAAAAGCTAGGTTAAAGTCAACCCATTTTCTACCTCCTTGAGGCTGTGACTAACAGCCTGGAATGGTACAAATCCACTGGATGAAGACAGGAAAGAAGCTCAGGCTTCTGGCTCCCTTTCCCAACTTACTCCAGAGAAACAATGGAAGGAAGAAGGAAACACCTGACCAACAGACTACACAACAGCAACCCTGGTTGCAAGATAACAACGGAGTATTGTTTCTAAAATATGAAGGAAAAGAACTTGAGCCTAGACTTTTATATCAAGTCAAATTCTCATTTAAATAGGAAGGCATCTTTTCTGTTGCAGTGATAACAAATTGCCACATACTTACCTGCTTAAATCAGTACATCTTTATTATTTCGCAGTCCTCTAGGTCACAAGCCTGAGATGGCATGACTGATTTCTCTGCTCCCAGTCCTCAAGGTCAAAATCAAGGTGTCCACCCACTGGGCTCTGATTGGGAGGTTCTGGGAAGCATCTGCTTCCAAGTGCATTCAGGTTGCTTGCAGAATCCAGTCCTTGGACCTGTGGGACTGAGGTCCCAGCTTCCCTGCTGGCTGTCAGCTGCAGCCCTTCCCTAACTCCTAGAGGCCCCTCTCCAGTTTGCTCATGGTCCCCACAGCTCAGAGCCAGCAACAGTGCATGGAATCCTTCCCATGCTTAGAATCTCTCTGACATTGGACGCATCTTTCTTAGCTCCAGCCTGAGAAAATTCTCTGCTTTTTAGAGCTCATGTGATGGCACTGGGCCCACCCAGAGAACCCAGGAAAATCTATTTTAAGGTCAACTGATTAGTAGCTTTAATTATGCCTGTGCAGAACCTAGACTAGCGGTACCTAGACTCACAGTACCTAGACTAGGAGTAGCTGGTTTCTCAAGGCCCCTCACCCCTTATTCTCTCCATCCCCTTCTTCCTGGCCCCCTTTCCTTTCCCATTTCCATTCCCACTTTCATAATCATTTCTTCTTTGCTTAAAATACTGGATTTTCCTGCTGCTGGTACGCTCCAGGCTCAAACAAACAGGCTAAGACAGCAGCTAGTTGTCCTATCATCAGTGTTTTCTAGAACATAACGTTCTAAAAAAGGTACAGGAAACTTGAAGGGGCAGCTTCCGAATCCTGCCCACCAGAGTGTATGAGAATTATTCAAAACATACAAAACCTGAAGGATATTTGCCTCCTAAAGATCCAAGTTGGAAATAGTTCAGAGGAAGGTACCTCAATAGAGCAAGAGAAACACAGGAGATTCGACAAGAGAACCGAGGAGGACGAGTGACCAAAGAATCTGTTCCAGATTACTGTTACCTCACAACAAGGGAAATGTGAAGTTAGGATCACAGAAACAAGGAAGTGTAACTAAGAATAACCGGAAATTACCGCTAGGAAAATTATCAGGAAAATGGGGCTGGAGGTGGCACAAGAAAGGGATAGGAAAACGTGCTGATAGTTCTAAAATTAGGAATAAAACAAAACCAATAACACCAATAAATGTGATACATATTGGTATGAGTCATAGGTTAAGGGCAGCCACCCTGAGAAGAAAACTAGAATATATAACTTTTAAACCAACCAAAGAAAACCTCGGTATACTAAATGGAGCACAGGTATGGAGGGGGAAATACCAGCAATAAAAAAACAATAAATACACGTGGACCAGGCACAGTGGCTCATGCCTGTAATCCCTGCACTTTGGGAGGCCGAGGTGGGAGGATTGCTTGAGCTCAGGAGTTCAAGACCAGCCTGGGCAATATAGGCAGACCCCCATCTCTACAAACAAATATAGAAAATTAGCCCAGTGGGTGGCGCATGCTTGTAGTCCTGGCTACTTGGAGGCTGAGGCAGCAAGATGGCCTGAGCCCAGGAGTTAGAGGCTGCAGCTAGCTATGACCACGCCGCTGCACTCCAGCCTGGACAACAGAGGAAGACCCCGTATCTTAAAATAAACAAACAAAAAAGATGGCATAGCTAAATCCTAAACAGTAATAATTACAATAAAGGTGAATTACCAAACTCATCACATAAATCACTGAAACTCCCAGGCTGGATTTTAAAATATCAAATAATATACACTATTTTCAAAAGACAATGTTAAATGTAAAGTTTAAAAATCATAGGTGCTGTATCTCTCAAGAAAGGCTACTTTGTTTGTTTGTTTGTTTTAGCCACTACAATATGCTTTATTGTTCTTGGAAAGGGCTCAGGATTTGGTTTTAAATCAGGCTGCACACTTTTCATCAGTCTCACATCTCTCTCCCCATGCCAAACTGGCTCCAGTTAGCAATGCCGCATAAATACCAGGGAGACCTTCAGAAACTTCCAGCAGCCTCCCCTCCTCCTGACCTCCAACCCCTGAAATCCAAGACCTCCCCTGTTAGCCCAGGACCCCTACTTAGGGTCCAGTCTGGAACTTGCCAACCCGACCCACTTTGGACCAGCCTGGTAGCAGTAGAGGCTGGAGAAAAACACCCAACTCTGCGCCAGCAACTGTGCCACTGGGGACTGGAGCCCAGGGTGTGACATGCCTGGAGGAAGCAGAGGGCCCCTGCATGAGTCACCCCAGCCCTCAAGGCTGTCAAAGCTCCAGTGGCCCCGCCCCGCCCCCTTGCAACTCCAGGCCATGGGTAGCGAAGTGCTTGGATTCTTGCTCCTTCTCAGACCCCACGCCTTCTTTTCTCCTTCCCTTTCCTCCTGGCCGCCTTATCTTTTCCCATTTCCATTCCTGCTTTCAGACTCGTTCCTTCTTTGTTTAAAACACAGATTTTCGCCTGGGCACTGTGGCTCATGCCTGTAATCCCAGCACTTTGGGAGTCCGAGGTGGGCGGATCAGGAGGTCAGGAGTTCAAGACCAGCCTGTCCAACATAGTGAAACCCTCTCTCTACTAAACATACAAAAAAAAGTAGCCAGGTGTGTTGGCAGCCGCCTGTTATCCTAGCTACTCGGGAAGTTGAGGCAGGAGAATCTCTTGAACCTGGGAGGCGGAGACTGTAGCAAGTTGACATTGTGCAACTGCACACCAGCCCCTGCAACAGTGCCAGACTCCGTCTCAAAAAAAAAAAAAAAGGCAAGATTCTTTTGGCCCCGGTGCACTCTAGGCTCAATCAAACCAGCTGAAGACAGCAGTTTGCTGTCCATCATCATGCTGCTATGTTTTCTAGAAGATTCTATCCTGATGAAGCACCCCCAGACTGGTTGAAAACGAGTTACTCTTTCTTGGAAAATCTTTGTGGACACCCAGGTGGGCATTCAAATTTCCAAGTTGTGGCCAGTTGCAGCGGCTCCGGACGGAGAGGGGCGGGGACTCAGCGACGCAGGCGGAGGGAGGGCGGCTGTCGCTGGTGCAGGCGGTGACGGGGAGACACTGCCGGCACTGAGTATTCCTGTGGAAGTTTCTTCACCTTCCTGTGAGTAAGTGTTTACATTGTGGTAATGATACATGCTATGTTGAAAACTTAGGTGATGGGGCCATGGAAAGAACCGCGCTCTGGCCCGCTCGGGGCCTGTGCAAGCCGCCACCAAGCCTCGGGGGGGGCGGGTTGGAGGGGAAAGTTTCGTCAGCCAGGCCGCTGCCAGAAGACAGCGTGACGGGGTGGAGCATCCCTAACAAGGGCAGGCTAGGATCCCGCCCATTGGATCCCAGCCCACGGCGGGGCGGGGTGCCGCGAAGCGGAAAGGGGAGGGTCTGGGCAGCCTTTATAATTAGCCGGCGTGGGAGCTCCGAAGCGATTCATCAGCCGGACTCCACTTCGACCGCGCCTCCTGTCCCCTGCGCTCCAGGTCTACTATGGCAGCGACCGCCAGCACTGCGTTCCTTCTGTGCCTCTCCTTTCTGCACCTGCTGTCCGGCTGGTCCGGGGCAGGGCGGGCCGGTGAGTTCGGGGATGGAGCCTAAGTGGGGCGGGAGGCCAAACCTGGTGGGCTGAGCACTGCAGAGGGTTTCAGAGGAGGGGAGGCTTCTGCAAGGACTGGCGCGATCTCCCGGAACATCGCGGTCTCCCGAACATCGCCGTTCCCCCGAATATCGCGGTCCCCCCGAACATCGCGGTCCCCCTGAACATCGCGATCTCCCCAAACATCCCGGTCTCCCCGAAAATCGCCATCTCCCCGAACATCGCGGTCTCCCGGAACATCTCGATCTCCCCGAACATGCCCGGCTGAAGGCACTCAGTTCGCCTCCGCGGCTCCTTTCCGCCGGGTCCGATTCCTCCGGCTGCCGCTTGCCCCGCAGGCCAGGAAGCTTCTGGATGCACCGGCGCTATCTCCCCGAACATCGCGGTTTCCCCGAACGTCGCGGTCGCCCGGAACTTTGCGATCTCTTTTCCGCCGGGTCGGCTTCCTGCGGCTTCTGCTTGCCCCAGGAGGCTCCTGAAAGGACCGGCGCGATCTCCCTGAACATCGCATTTTACCAGAACATCGCGTTCTACCGGAACATCGCGATCCTCCCAGAACATCCCGGTCTCCCCTAACATCGCTATCTCCCCGAACAACTCGATCTCCCCGAACATCCCGGTCTCCCCGAACATCGCGGTCTTCCGGAACGTCGCCGTCTCCCCAAATATCCCGGTTCCCCCGAACATCGCGGTCTCCCCCAACATCGCCGTCTCCCTGAACATCGCGGTCTCCCCACACTTGCCCCGCTGACGGCACTCTGTTGCACCCGGCGGCTCCTTTCCGCCTAGTAGGCTTCCTGCGGCTTCTGCTTGCCCCAGGAGGCTTCTGGAAGGACCGGCGCCATCTCCCGGAACATCGCGTTCTACCCGAACACCGGGGTCTCCCCGAACATAGCTGTCTCCCCGAACATCGCGGTCTCTCCGAACATCGCGGTCTCTCCGAACATCGCTGTCTCCCCGAACATCGCGGTCTCCCCGAACATCGCTGTTCGCCCGAACGTTGCTGTCTCCTCGAACATCGCGGTCTCTCCGACCGTCGCTGATTCCCCGAACATCGCGGTCTCCCCGAACATTGCTGTCTCCCCGAACATTGCTGTCTCCTCGAACATCGCGGTCTCTCCGAACGTCGCTGATTCCCCGAACATCGCGGTCTCTCCGAACATCGCTGTCTCCTCGAACATCGCGGTTCCCCCGAACATCGCCGTCTCCCCGAACATAGCGTTCCCCCGGAACATCGCTGTCTCCCCGAACATCGCTGTCTCTTCGAACATCGCGGTCCCCACGAACATCTCGGTCTCCCCGAAAATCGCCATCTCCCCGAACATCTCGATCTCCCGGAACATGCCCGGCTGAAGGCAATCAGTTCCCCTCCGCAGCTCCGTTCCGCCGGGTCCCATTCCTCCAGCTGCTGCTTGCCCCGCAGGCCAGGAAGCTTCTGTGTGCCCCGGCGCGATCTCTCCGAACGTTGCGGTCTCCCCGAACGTTGCGATCTCCCCGAACGTTGCGATCAACCCGAACATGCCCTGCTGAGGGCCCTCAGTTCCCCTCCGCGGCTCCTTTCCGCCCAGTCGGCTTCCTGCGGCTTCTGCTTGCCCCAGGAGGCTTCTGGAAGGACCCGCGCCATCTCTCGGAACATCGCCTTCTACCCTAACATCGCCATCTCCCGGAATATCCCGGTTTCTCCGAACATCCTGGTCTCCCCGAACATCGCGGTCTACCGGACCATCGCGATCTCCCTGAACATGCCCTGCTGAGGGCACTCAGTTCCGCCCCGCGGCTCCTTTCCGCTTAGTAGGCTTCCTGCGGCTGCTGCTTGCCCCAGGAGGCTTCTTCAGAAGGACCGGCACCATCTCCCCTAACATCGCGTTCTACCCGAACATCGCGGTCTCCCCGAACATAGCGTTTCCCCGGAACATCGCGGTCTCTCCGAACATCGCTGTCTCCCCGAACATCGCGGTTCCCCTGAACATCGCGGTCCCCCCGAACATCGCGGTCTCCCCGAACATCGCGGTCTCCCCGAACATCGCTGTTCGCCCGAACATTGCTGTCTCCTCGAACATCGCGGTCGCGCCGAACATCGCTGTTCGCCCGAACATTGCTGTCTCCTCGAACATCGCGGTCTCTCCGAACATCGCTGTCTCCCCGAACATCGCGGTCTCTCCGAACATCGCGGTCTCCCGAACATAGCGTTCCCCGAACATCGCGTCTCCGCATCCCCCGGAACATCGCGTTCCCCCGAACCCTCCCCCAACATCGCGGTCCCCCCCGCATCCTCTCCAACATCGCGTCTCCCGAACATCGCTGTCTCCCCGAACATCGCGGTCTCCCCGAACATCGCGCTTCCCCCGAACATCGCTGTCTCCCCGAACATCGCGCTTCCCCCGAACATCGCGGTCTCCCCGAACATAGCGTTCCCCCGGAACATCGCGGTCTCCTGGAACATCGCGGTTCCCCCGAACACCGGGGTCTCCCCAAACATCGCGGTCGCCCCGAACATCGCGATCTCTCCAAACATCGCTGTCTCCCGGAACATCGCTGTCTCCCCGAACATCGCTGTCTCTTCGAACATCGCGGTCCCCACGAACATCTCGGTCTCCCCGAAAATCGCCATCTCCCCGAACATCTCGATCTCCCGGAACATGCCCGGCTGAAGGCAATCAGTTCCCCTCCGCAGCTCCGTTCCGCCGGGTCCCATTCCTCCAGCTGCTGCTTGCCCCGCAGGCCAGGAAGCTTCTGTGTGCCCCGGCGCGATCTCTCCGAACGTTGCGGTCTCCCCGAACGTTGCGATCTCCCCGAACGTTGCGATCAACCCGAACATGCCTGCTGAGGGCCCTCAGTTCCCCTCCGCGGCTCCTTTCCGCCCAGTCGGCTTCCTGCGGCTTCTGCTTGCCCCAGGAGGCTTCTGGAAGGACCCGCGCCATCTCTCGGAACATCGCCTTCTACCCTAACATCGCCATCTCCCGGAATATCCCGGTTTCTCCGAACATCCTGGTCTCCCCGAACATCGCGGTCTACCCGAACATCGCGATCTCCCTGAACATGCCCTGCTGAGGGCACTCAGTTCCGCCCCGCGGCTCCTTTCCGCCTAGTAGGCTTCCTGCGGCTGCTGCTTGCCCCAGGAGGCTTCTTCAGAAGGAGCGGCACCATCTCCCCTAACATCGCGTTCTACCCGAACATCGCTATCCGTCCGAACATCTCGGTCCTCCCCAACATCGCGGTTTCCCTGAACATCGCTGTCTCCTCGAACATCGCGGTCCCCCCGAACATCTTGGTCTCCCCGAAAGTTGCCATCTCCCCCAACATCTCCATCTCCCCGAACACACCCGGCTGAAGGCACTCAGTTCCCCTCCGCGGCTCTTTTACGCCAGGTCCAATTCCTCCGGCTGCTGCTTGTCCCGTAGGTCAGGAAGCTTCTGGATGGACCCGCGCGATCTCCCCGAACATCGCGGTTTCCCGGAACGTCGCAGTCTCCCTGAACCTTGCTGTCTCTCTGAACATCACGGTCTCCTCGAACATCGCTGATGGTCTCCCCAAACATCTCGGTCTCCCCGTACATCGCGGTCCCCCCCGAACATCGCGGTCTCCTCGAACATAGCGGTGCCCCCAACATCGCTCTCTCCCCGAACATCGCGGTCTCCCGGAACACCGCGATCCCCCCGAACATCGCAGTCTCCCCAAACATTGCGATGTCTCTGAACATCGCTATCTCCCTGAACATGCCCGGCTGAAGGCACTCAGTTCCCCTCTGGGGCTCCTTTCCACCGAGTCCGCTTCTGCAGCTGCTGCTAGCCCCGCAGGCCAGGGGAGTGTCAAAGAAGGCTGAAAAGGAATCGCAGGAGGGTGGAGGGGCCAAAGGGCTACAGAGGGCAAGGTGGGGCGGGGATCCCTGGTGCAGACCCGCAGCCCCACTCACCCTAGGGAAGAAAAAACCAGATCCCCGAACCCTAACTGGGGTCAGGACAGGGGTGAAGGGAAGTTCCACAGGGAGGCGATCACAGACCCCCTCACCATCCACAGCCCTGCTCTGCTCTGACCTGCTCTTCACCACACAAACCTTCCAGCACCTTCAGGGCTTCCTGCCCTGGAACTTCCCCCTACACTTTGGGGCAGACACTCACCTGCACCCAGGGACTCACCAGACACTTCCTACACCTCCCCTCACCATTCACTTTCACCACCCAGGTCGCATCCTTTCACTCTCCATCTCAGCTCACCCCAGTCACCACACAGGCCTCCCTCACCTCCCTATCCATGAAGGAGCCCTTAGCACCTCCCCCAGCAACTAGCACCTTCTCCCCTTTTGCCTGAGGACACACCCCAGCAAACACACCCCACACTTTCCACATAACTTAGTGCAGGGGGAATGGGAAGGACCATTTCCCCCAGGATGACCCTGGGAGCGCCCCTGAGTAGAGGCGCCCACTACTTCCCTTGGGTCCCAGACCCGCCTCTTCTTCCTACTGGGGAGATAGGGTTATACAGAACAGTCACTACACAGAGAGGAGTCAGCAAACCCTTTCTAGAAAGGAAAGGCTGAAGGCACTTTGGTCCTTGCTGGCCATGGGTACTGTGTGTCAAGTGCTGTCCCTTGGTACAGCAACAGCAGGCAACGGCAACCTGCAGATAAAAGGGAGACCAGATGTGGACACCATCCTAGGTTGCTGACCCCAGATGAGGGTACATGCTGTGTCCTCAGAATTGGTTCCCCATCCCCCAGGGTGTCATCTCCAAGTGTGTAAGTTGAAGAGTCACAGGTGTGTCCGACCCTGCCTGTGGCTTCTGGGTGGTGTGGATGTGATGGATGTGAATGGAGGTTCTATGGTTCCAGGCCTACTGCCCCCCTCCTTTGCTGCTGGGTGGCATCATCGGTCCCTCAGGGCGATCAGGGACCCTCCCTGAAGCCTCAGGTGTGAGCCGAGGGTGAGGGGTGCACCCATGTGGTGTCCTGGGGATCAGAGCCAACTGCTTGTGCAGCTTCTTGGTTCCCTGTGGCCCTGCTCCTGCCCATCTCGAGACCCACCTGTGTCTTCTCACTGCTGGGCCTACCTTCCTAATGACCTAAAGGGTGAGGAGCACACCCTGTGATGGGCAGCTCTGAGGCTGTGTGGTCACTGCCCTCCCATAGCTGGAGGCCCATCTCCACCAGGGCCCAGGACCACACCTGGAGCCTCTTTTAAGTGAGGGGATTTTGCTGCTGTGAGTGGCACAGCCTTGCTTCTGAGCACTAGGGGACCCTGTTGTGATTCTGCAGTTGGCAATTGCCATGAAATCCACATAGCACCTTTTCCAACCACACGTCTCTGGGATCTTAGGGACTCCAGGGTCAAATAGCCATATTGGTAGGTCCAGCGACACCCCTCATCACAGAGTGTGTATGGTTGCATCCCAGCTACAAGAGCAGAGTTGAATAGTGACAGGGGAGGTCATATGACCAGCACAACCTATAATAGTTACTACATTAACTACAAACACTATCCATTCCCAGTACGAATCCAGGAAATGTGAAATTACTATTGAATGGGTCTAGGAACCCAGCACATCCCTGTAAGCTGGACCTGACACAGGTGTCCGTCTGTTACTTTGCCCTAAATGCACCTCATGAGTAATAGAGGAGCAAGTTAATGCTTCTGGTCCCTGCAAGGATGTCAGACCACACACTGTGTCCACCAGGAGTGTCTGGGTATTTGCTGTTTCATAGTATACACTTACCAGAGCGAATGCCCTATCTGGCTCTGTGAGAGAGTCTGAAGGAGTCATTGCAGTTGCTGTGGGGTTGAAGGAGCCCACCAGGGCCTCTGGACTCTCCTTTTAGTAATGGACTCTGGGTCTGAGATGTGGCTCAGTTCTCAAAGCTGGGCAAAGGAGCTCAGTTATTTCCTGGGGTGACTCCTTTCAGCCTCCAGGTCATCCATCCTTGCATTTTGTCTTTGTTTGCTGTAATTATTTAACTCTAGCAGTATCAGGGTTGAGTTTCCATTTCTTTTGGATCTTTGACTCCTTTGTTCTATGAGCCATGGGCATACCTTTGTATGGCTGAGGGCCCCAGCTGGCATTGTGACTTCTTTAATTATTTCCATCATTGCACCCTCCTTCCTCCTGACAGTTGACAGCCTCCAATTGAGATCTCTTATTTCAGGATTTTCCATCACCATGACTACTGGGGAGCCCATTTCAGGAACAGCATTTCCTACCCCCAATCCCGGCCTTCAGCAACAGGCATCCCTGGGCTTCCTGACAGTCTGCTGCCTTATCCCAGGGCCTTCTTTATATGCTGAGTAAACAGGAGTCCTCCAGGCATCCCATGAGCCCAGAGGATGGACATCGTTCTGGATTTTCATACTGCGGTCACTCTGGCATGGGCGCTTCTCTGAGCCTTTTGGTTCTTTCCTCTATACCCTGACTTAGAAGTTCTGGATTTTCCACTACCTGCCCTGTGAACCATCCCTTTCCAAGGTTCCAGGAATTCATGCTCATAGCAGATGGGCAACTTCGTCGGGGCTTTGCCAACGTATTAAATCCTGTGACCCGTGACAATAATCACTTGCTTACCAAAACTGAATTCTGCCCTCCCCACCCACACACTGTGCTGGAGCATCCAAGGGCAGCTCCCACACCCTCTCCCGCCTCCTGCAGTCCACACAGACTGCTGCTGTGGGTCCTCCTCATCCAGGCCTTTTCCTGCCACAACAGGCCTGGCACATCCACGACAAGGTCATGTGCTGACCGATGTGGGCACGGAGCATGTGGGACATGTCTGGAGGGGCCATGTGGTTTCACGGCTGCAGGAACCTTCCCCTCCATGTATTCAAGCAAGGGAGACGCTCTAGTCATTAGCTAGTTTTCATGACAGTCCTGGCTGGCACATCTTGCTCTGCCAGCCCAGCTCCTCAGAAGTATTTACCTGCAGTCACTATAAGGGGGAGGAGGGGATTTAGGTTCCACTTCCCACCACACCAACCCCCTCCTGTGTTTTTCTTCCACAGTCAAACACTGTCTTTCCTATGACTTCATCATCACTCCTAAGTTCAGACCTGAACCACGATGGTGTGAAGTTCAAGGCCTGGTGGATGAAAGGCCTTTTCTTCACTATGACTGTGTTAACCACAAGGCCAAAGCCTTTGCTTCTCTGGGGAAGAAAGTCAATGTCACAAAAACCTGGGAAGAACAGACTGAAACCTTAAGAGACGTGGTGGATTTCCTCAAAGGGCAACTGCCTGACATTCAAGTGGAGAATTTAATGCCCATTGGTAAGTTTAAAATGGCCCAGGGAGCAGACACAGTAGTAACTTAGAGGCATTTATTGGTTTCATGTAAAAAATAAATCAGAAGTTTGTGTCACACAAGAGGCTGAGAAGCATGAACAGGATGCAGCAGAGAGAGCAAGTCCAGGAGCCAGGAAAGGAAGCAGGGTGGGGCTCAGGACTTGTCAAGATCAGAGCTGATCTCTTTCCAATGGGGCAGAGCCCCTCATTCTGCAGGCCCAGATGTCTTGTGAGCACGAAGCCCATGGACACGGCAGAGGATCTTGGCAGTTCCTCTTCAATGGACAGACGTTCCTCCTCTTTGACTCAAACAACAGAAAGTGGACAGCACTTCATCCTGGAGCCAAGAAGATGAAAGAGAAGTGGGAGAAGAACACGGAGGTGACCATGTTCTTCCAGAAGATTTCAATGGGGGATTGTAAGACATGGCTTGAAGAATTTTTGATGTACTGGGAACAAATGCTGGATCCAACAAGTAAGTAAGAGGGGAAAAAAAGGAGTTCAGATCTTATCAGTCCGGTGTCTGAGTGTGTGACTGCATGTGTGTGAGTGTTTGAGTGAGTGTGAACATGACCCCCTCATGGGGGGCTCCTCCTGGGGGTGCTGGCATGCCTGTGCTATCTCATCCTCCTCTCACTTCTTCCTCCTGACTCCTCTTCCTCCCTGCACTTGCTTGTGCTCCACCCACGGTGCATTTCTCACCAACCTCAAATCTGTGGGTGTCAGTGTTTCCATATCTTTTTCATTAGTGTTCCTTCCTCCTAGAATTGCAGTTTCTTTCCTCTCCCCTCATCTGTTTCTGTAAATCCATCAAAATCACCTCCAATGCCAGGGCCCAAGACCCTCCCCTCTTTGGCCCTGGGACATCACCTCCTCTTTCTCCATGGCAGGAGGGTGGGCTATGTTGTCACCTTGCTTCCCTCAGCAGCTGTGTGAGCTCCCTGAGGACAGGGGACACCCCCTCTCCCTTCCTACCGCAGGACCTGTCCCAGAGGTTGCCCCACAGCAGAGGGGAGCAAAAGCTCTGCCTTCCAGGATGACCTGGGGTGGCAGGAGCTGAGGAGGCATCCCCTAAGATTTGCGGCCTCGACAAGGGTTGTCACTCCTGTGTTTCCATTTCAGAACCACCTTCTCTGGCCCAAGGCACAACCCACCCCAAAGCCATGGCCACCACTCTCATTCCCTGGAGCCTCCTTATCATCCTCCTCTGCTTCATTCTAGCTGGCAGCTGAGGAGACTTGTTTAGAGTGACAGGTACTGTGGGCAATATTGGGAGGGGAGCAAGGGGCAGATGGGTGAGATGGGAGGACGTGGAAGGAGAATTCCCAGAGTCCCAGAGGCTGGGAACTTCTCATCCTGACATGAGACAGATGAATGAGACCTGGTGTCACCTGTTGGCAATGACCTGGGCAGCTCAACCTTGAGTTCTGATGGATTCTCACTGTCAGAGGCCAGAGGGAAAGGGAGGGGCCCATACCAAGGCTTAAGGCATATTGAGCTTGAGAGGGTTCAGCCAGTTCAGGCCTGTTTCAGAGCAGGTTCCTATTTGGGAAGGGTAGCGGTATGTGGCCTGCAGGCAGCAGGAACTCAGGTGTGGGGAGTCTGCACAGTAGGAGAGGAGCAGCATGACCACTTCACCTAGGATGTCAAGAGAAAGGGTGTCCCTGGAGAAGGCTACAAAGAGAGTGATCTGGAAGAATCCCAGGACGAGGGGGCTGTGAGGTCCTTCTCCCACCCAATTCCAAAGGCTGCATTCCCAGAGAAAGCAGCTCAGGTCCCAGCAGTTAAGGTAGAAGGTGAAGAGTGGAGCATGTCCGGACTGAGGTTCAAGAAAAAGCCAGGCCCGTTGGACCCATGGGATTCCTGGCCGGGTCCTGGGGCGATGCCCCTGCCATTCTGCCTCCTGCACACTCCAGATCCTGAGCCAGCTGATGGCCCTGCCTGGAGCAGAGTGGACTTAGGCAGGGCAGCTGACCTGCTGCTGGAGTTCCATGCCCACCACTGAACTTGGTTAGGAATGAATGGGGCGGGGCAGGGGCAGTCCCATTCAAAGCTATGGGTGCAGCTCCCAGGGAGAGGAGAGGTTGAGAGCAAAGGGGAAAGAAGGAGGTTTGCCTGCAAGCCCACCCAAGGCCAGGGAACATGGATACAAAGACCTCTCTTTGGACAGGGCTCCCCCAGGTCCTCTAGACCCCTCCGTGAGAAGGGGGAGCAGGCCCTCCCTGGGGGTGCACAACCCTCATTACCAGCCTCAATTCTGAGTCCTCATGCGCTGTAACAGGACCTGGGCTGGCTCTGTGGTGTGGTGAAGGAGGGTGGAGGTTGGGACAGGCTGCAGAGCCAAGGGTAGGTTTGGAGGGAAAAACATGTTCCTTATTTGGGGAAGAGGCTCCGAAATGGGGAGGGCCTGGGAGGGATCACACAGGAGAACAGACCCAGGTTTTTCTCAGCCACTTAAACCAACGCTTCATCTTTTCTGAAGGTGGAAGATGATATCAAGAAGCCTCTGTTAGCCTGTTCTGGTTCCTGCTCTCCCTTCAGGGAGGTCGCCTGTCTACTCACCACTGTGCCTTTCTGGAAAGCAGGAGTGCAAGCCTTAGCAAGCCCACAGGCCCCCAGGAGATGATGAGGACGTTGTAGACTCAGCGTCTCATGCCACTCATTACCTTTGCTGATGATCCTAGCAGCCATTTTTCTTAACGTCTTCTGCCACTTTCTCTCAGTGCTAACGGATGGAATTTCTGCACAAGTTTTAACTGAACAAGAAATCCCAGCAAAACGCATTTTCTTTCTACTTCTTTGATTGTGGAAAAGCAGACACTTCTCTGAAGTATGACCTTATTCTTCCAAACAGGATCGCTAGTAAAATAGCATGCTGGACTTCAGAGCTCAGGGATCCTTTCCATTTTAAATTCTTGGAGAAATCTCCAAACTGCTTTCCATAGCAGCTGAACACATTTGCTTTCCCACCAACAATGTCTGTTTCCTTTTCTCTGCAGCCTCACCACCATCTCTGACTTTGTGACTGGTTAGAGATGGTAACTCATTGCGGTTTTGATTTGCACTTATCTGATGATTAGTGATATTAAGCATTTTTTCGTGTTTGTTGGCCAATTGTAGGTCTTCTTTTGAAAAGTATCCTTTCATGTCTTTGCCCAATTTTAATTGGGTTTTTTCTTCTTGCTTGTTGAATTGTTTAAGTTCCTTGTAGATTCTGGATATTGGACCTTTGTCAGATGCATACTTTGCAAATAGTTTCCCCCATTCTACAAGCTGTTTAGTGTGTTGCTGACCAAGAATTGTTATAATCCTTTTTTATGGCTTTTTACAGTTCCTCATTCTGTCAACCATATTGGAGTGAAGCGGCATACTCATCACTAACTGTAATCTCCAACTTCTGGGCTCAAGTGATCCTCTAGACTCAGCCTCTGGAATAGCTGGGACTACAGGCGCATGCCACTAGGCCCGGCAAATTGTTTTATTTTAGGTAGAGATAAAGTCTTCCTATGTTGCCCAGGATGGTCTTCAAATCTTGGCCTTGAGCAATCCTCCCACCTTGGCCTCCCAATGCTCTGGGATTGCAGACATGAACCACAGTGCCTGTTGTAGAAATTTTTAATTATTTAATATGAAAATATTACATTCATGATTATTTTATTTAGTAAATAAAATAATGTAAAGCCCTGAAATAAACCTGCACACCTACAGCCATCTAATCTTCAACAGAAATGAGCAATGTGGGAAAGACTCCCTATTCGAAAATTAGTGCTGGGATATCCAGCCAGCCATATGCAGAAGAAGGAAACTGAGCCCCTAGCTCTCCCCATATATATAAAATAACTTGATATGGGTGAAAGATTTAAATGTAAGTACTAAAACTGCAAAAATCCTGGAATATAACCTAAGAAATACCAATGCGGACATAGGACCTGGCAAAGATTTCATGAAGAAGACACTAAAAACAATTGCAACAACAACAAAAAAATTGACAAATGGGACCTCATTAAACTAAAGAGCTTCTGCACAGAAAAAGACACTAGCAACACACTAAACAGACAGCCTGTAGAATGGGGGAAACTATTTGCAAAGTATGCATCTGACAAAGGTCCAATATCCAGAATCTACAAGGAACTTAAACAATTCAACAAGCAAGAAGAAAAAACCCAATTAAAATTGGGCAAAGACATGAACAGACACTTTTCAAAAGAAGACCTACAATTGGTCAACAAGCATAAAAAATGCTCAATATCACTAATCATCAGATAAGTGCAAATCAAAACTGCAATGAGTTACTATCTCTTACCAGTCATAAAGTCGGAGATGTTGGTGAGGCTGCAGAGAAAAGGAAACAGACACTGTTGGTGGGAAAGCAAACGTGTTCAGCCACTATGGAAAGCAGTTTGGAGATTCCTCCAAGAACTTAAAATGGAACTACCATTCTACCCAGCAATCCCACTACTCAGGATATATCCACAGGAAAAGAATTCATTTTATCAAAAAGACAACTGCATCAATATATTCATTGCAGTGCTATTCTCACTAGCAAGGACACAGAATCAACCTAAGTGCCCAGCAACAGTGAATTGAATGAAAAAAATGTGGTACATAGACACCATGGAAATCTATGCAGCCACGAAACACAGCAAAATCATGTTGTTTTCAGCAACATGGATGGAACTAGAGGCTATTATCCTAAGCAACCTAATGCAAGAACAGAAAACCACATACTGCATGTTCCCATTTGAAAGTGGCAGCTAAACATTGAATTCACATGAACCACAGATGCTAGAAATCACCAGACCGGGGAGAAAGGAGGATCACCTGGGCTGAAAAATCACCTGTTAGGTATCATGCTTACTGTTTAGGCGATGGGATCATTGGGACACCAAGCCTCAGCCTCCCAGAATCTACCCATGTAAAAAATCTGTATATGTACCTTTTATTATATAGGTTGAAATTAAAGATGAAAAAATAAAATGACACAAGGCCAAAAGCAAATGGGGTTAACTGACCAAAGTGAGAGAACTCTGCACTATGAACCCAAACCCAGCTCAAAAAGATAAACTCTAGTCATTGAAAATAATCATAAGTTGTCTGATGATAATTGTATAAAAATTTGTATGATGATAATTGTATAATAATTATATAAGAAAGTGCCAAAACCCTAAAATTAAACACTCCATAATGGAATTACAGTTGATTTCCACCTTGCTCTTTATACCCTTACTTTTTTATCCATTTTCACGTGACGTTTTTGCTTATCCTCAGGAAATCCTTGCTGTCGGCCTTCTCCTTCTGCACCCACCACCTCCTTTTCCACTGTCATCCTCAGCCCTTCCTCTGGTCTGGGACTGTGGCTTCCTTGGCACTGAAGGCCCAAGAGCTGCATTCAGCCTCGGGAGAGAGGATGATGTAGGGCTAGTTGTGGAGGTGCTCTCGGCGTTGCAGAGGAACCTAACAGCTCGAGCCCTCTATTGCAGACAGCTGCGTTTCTCCATCAGGTTAACTACAACCAAGCCAGCCTTGCCCTTTTCCTCATTGTTTTTTTCTAATACTCCCGAACTCGTGCTTGAAAATTTGTATTCTTCCTCCTAACATTTCTTTCCATTTCTTGTTTGCACAATATATCCCGATTTATTATGCCCAGAAAACACTGGACCAACCATGTCAGTGACAGCTACAAGATCACAGTCTCCACTTGCTGGAAGGGCACATGGGGTTTGGAGCCCTTCAAAAGCCCCAGCCCCAGAGAACTCTATTTGGCCTGTCTGGGACTCCCTGGAAAAGCCGCATTCACTGGGCTTGTCATTGTTTGACCCGCTGAGGTCTCTTTCTAGGAAAAAGCCAGAGCCTCAGAGCACTGGCTAAAAGCAATAATTGCAACTGTACAACCCCCACCGTTTGCATGTGGGGCAAACAAGAGGCTAGTGGGGGAAATTGAGATAAATATTTGCGCAATGGGATGAGCATAGAGGCTGGCACATGCCCAGGAAGCACCTGAGAAGGCCACATCTCTGACCTTTGGCTGACCTGGAGGTTCTGTTCAGGCAGGAAGTGGAGCTGCAGTGGTGACATCAGCTGCCTGCCTGAGTGCGGCAGGGGCAGGAGTGCACCACACACACAAAGCTCTCCGCACTGGGCAGAGAGTCGCCGGCTCAAGGCATTGATGCAAACCTCTGTCCAAGCTCACCTAACTGAGCAGAGACTTCAGGGTCCACCTGAGACAGGGAATACCGATGTTATAAGATCCATCCAGAAAGTCACTAAACAAGCAGCAGCAACACACCTTGAAGAGAGGGGACATCTGATTTCCAGAGCTGTCACATTGTATTCTTGTAAACATTCAGTTTCATCTCAAAAAAACACAAGAGGTGCAAAGAAGCAGGGAAGGATCCCCAGTTACAAACAAGGAACCAGTCCCTGGAACTGTCCCTAAGGAAGCCCAGCCATTGGCCTTAGTGAGTTCTCAGTGTCTCTCCGAGGCAATGGCAGTCAAGGGGGGACTGTGAGGAGGAGACTGTTCAGCTTCCTCACTTCCATGGAGACAGGACTCAGCAGAGGTGGTGCTAGAGACGGAATGTCTATGTCCCCCCCAAACATAGTGCCTAATGTGTACTAGGAGAGGGAGGATTTGATCGGTTATTATGTTATGAGAGAAAAGCCCTCAAGAATGGGGCTGGATGGCCAGGCATGGTGGCTCACGCCTGTAATCCCAGCACTTTGTGAAGCTGAAGTGGGTGAACCACTTGAGGTCAGGAGTTCGAGACCAGCCTGGCCAACATGGTGAAACCCCATTTCTGCTAAAAGTACAAAAATTAACCATGCATAGTGGCAGATGCCTGTAATCCTACCTACTCAGGAGGCTGAGACAGGGGAATTGCTTGAACCCGGGAGACAGAGGTTGAAGTGAGCCAAGACTGCGCCACTGTACTCCAGCCTGGGCAACAAGAGTGAAACTTTGTCAAGAAAAGAAGTAAGGAAGGAAGGAGGGAAGGAACAAAGGAAGGAAGGTAGGAAGGAAAGAGAAGGGAAGGAAGGAAGGAAGAAGGAACGAAGGAAGAAAAAAGGAAAAGAAAGGAAGGGAAAGAAAGAAAAAGAAAAGAAAACATGAAAGTAAATCTTTGTGACTTGGGGTTTGGCTAAGGCTGCTAAAGTAGTATATACCAAGGCAATACTGACAAAAGAAAAATAGTTTAATTTGACTTCTTCCAAAGGTGAAACTTCTTTGCTTCGAAAAGAATGGCATTTAGAAAGTGAAAAGACAACTTACAGCATGGAGAAAATATGTGCAAATTATATACCTGGTAAGGGACTGGTATCCCGAATATATAAAGCACTCTTACAACTCAATATTGTAAAGAGAAATAATGCAATATAAATATGTGGAAAGGTTTTGAATGAACATTTCTCCAGAGAAGTATACATTGGTCACTAAGCCCATGAAAAGAGGCTCAACATCTGTAGCCATTAGGGAAAGGCAAATCACAGCCACAAGAAGATGCCACCTCACACCTAGTAGGATGGCTGTCATCATAATCACAGTGAGGATATGGAGAGACTGGATCCTTCACCCCTGCCAGAGGCAGAGTGCAGGGAGCTGGAGTTGGGGTGGAGTGTGGATGAGAGTGTGGCCTGGCGGGCTGTGATGGTGAATATTAGCTGGCCAGTGGATTGGATTAAGGGATGCCTAGGTGGCTGGTAATGTATTCTTTCTGGGCGTGTCTGTCAGGGTGTTGCAAGAGGAGAACGACATTTGAGTCCGGGAACTGGGGGAGGAAGACCCCCATCAGTGTGGGCGGGTACCATACCATGGGCTGCCAGCTGGGCTAGAAGAGAGCAGGCAGGAGAGGGTGGGGTGACCCTGTGGGCGGAGCTCTCTGGCTTCTCTCTGTCTTCCCTGGGGGTTCTTGCTTCCTTCCTCCTAGGACATCAGACTGCAGGTTCTTTTGCCTTAGGGCTCTGGGACTTGCACCAGCAGTTTCACACTTCCGGGGGCTCTGGGAGCTTTGGCGGGGGCTGAAGGCTGCCCTGTGGGCGTCCCCGGGTATTGAGGCTTTCAGACTTGGACTGGCCTTCACTGGCTTCCCTCTTCCCCAGTGTGCAGACGGTCTACC